CTCAGTGTGGTCTGCGGCAGGGAGATCCTCTCTCGTCGTATCTTTTTGTCCTCAGTATGGAGGTTTTCTCATCCTTGTTGAGACGTGTAGAGAATTTATCTCAGATTCAGGGTATTCGCATTTCGAGAGGAGCTCTTTCCATTTCGCATTTGTTCTTTGTGGATGATTCATTGTTGTTTTTTCAAGTTTCGCCAGTTGCTTGTGATCACCTTTCACAAGTAGTTCAGTAGTTTTGTACGGTGTCGGGCCAAATGATCAATCTTCAGAAATCCATCGTCATGTTCAGCCCTCATATTCCTCCACATTATAGGGATTACCTAGCGAGGTGCTTGAGTCTAGAGCATCAGCCGTCCCTTGGTTCTTATTTGAGTATGCCAGTGGATTTAAGCCATAGTAAAGCTTCCGAGTTTCGGGTTTTGATTGACAAGGTCTCTGATCGCCTTTCACAGTTTGATTCCCTCCACCTTTCAGCAGCGGCAAAGTTGGTTATCATTAACTCGATGTTGGTGGCCTTTTTTAATCATGTCTTGTTCTTTTTTAAGGTTCCAGTCTCGATTTGTCACCACATCGATAATATGCTGGCTCGTTTCTGGTGGTGGTCTTCTTCTTCCTCCAGGGGTATGGTGTTTCGGTTAGCTTTGCTCTTACATCTTCCCAAAGGTTTGGGTGGTTTAGGTCTTCGTAATACATGTCTTGTTAATCAGGCTTTGCTTGCCTGACAATGATGGCGTATTTTCCAACATCCTCAGCTGTTTCTTTCCAAGGTTTTATGTGCGAAATACCCTTCTCTTTGTTCTCTTGGCTCGACGAAGATTTCCCGCTCTTCATGGGGTTGTCGGTGCTTGATGGAAGGGCAATTTGTTTTGAACAAGGGTTTCACTTAGAAGGTGGGTTCGGGTTCCCGAGTTTGGATCCTTGATGATGATTGGGTTCTTGGAGGTTTGAGTTTTAAGTCTTCTGTGTCTGAGTCCGAGGTGTCGACTCATGTTTCTTCTATTATTATTCCGCGTTCCGGCGCGTGGGACACTTCGAAGATTCAACGGCTCTTTGATAGTCCTTCGACTCACCGCATTTTGGCGCTAGAAAGGCTGCACCGAGCCATGGATGATTTTGTTTACTGGAAGTTTTCTAGGGATGGTCGTTTTTCCACTAAATCGGCCTACTCTTTGCTAGTTCGACAATCTGTCGTTTCGATTGTCAGTACTCCAGCTCCAGCTCCATTGTGGAAATGTTTCTAGGGTCTCCCTCTTCTTCCTCGATTTAAGATGTTTAGTTGGAAGTTACTCCATGATGCTTTACCCTTGCTGGCAACTTTATTTTCTAAGGGTCTTCCGGTTAATCCAGTGTGTATTTTCTGTCGCACCAACCTCGAGACGACCTCACATCTTTTCCGCAACTGTCCCTTTATTCGTCCTCTTTGGAATCCAACCGTTTTGACACTCAATGGTAGTCTGCTGGGTTGTCTTCCATTTCCTGACTGGGTTGTGGCTATGGTTTCGTTTTATAGGCGGTCTAAGGATTTTGTTGGTCTGGTGTCTTTCATCTCCTTTCTCTTGGCTATTTAGCTTAAGCAAAATCACTGTATTTTCCGGCAAGCGGTGTGGTCTCCTTCTTTGATTCATCATCTTTCACAGGAATGGACCACTTGGGCCGTCCAAGATCGGGATTTTCAACAACATCTCTTATCTTTGGACAGACGATCTCCTACTCCGAGTCATGAGTTGGTACCTTTGTGTTTGCAGGGGGGAGCATCGGATCGTCTCGATCATTGTCTGATTTTTTACGATGCTTGGTTTTTCCAAGATAACCGTGCAGGCGCCAGTTGGGTTCACTACTAGAAAACAGATGATTTACGAGGGAAATATTCCGTCGGTATGTCTTAAAAATCCATCGGAAAGGCTAGTTTCCGACGGATTTCCGTCGGAACACGTTGTCGGAGACCACTTTGTAGGAAATTTGGGTTATACCGAGGAATTTTCCGTCGGAAAAGTCCTTACCGACGGATTTTAATTTCTCGGAACCTTAGTTTGACCAGAAATGGAGGTCCGTCGCAACGTTCCGATGGACATAAATCCCTCGGAATATTCCAACCTTCCGACGGAATTTTCCGTCGGTATGTTCCCCTTTTTCGATGGATTTTTCCGTCGGAAGATCCCCCCTTTCCGAGAGAATATTCCGTCGGAAGGTTGGAATATTCCGAGGGATTTATGTCCATCAGAAAATCCCCCCTTTCCGAGGGAATAATTCCGTCGCAACGTACTGACGGAAATGTCCGTCGGAACATTTCTTCTTTGCGACGGAATTAACGACGACAATTTTCTATTTTGGCTATATATTTTCCTCCAGGAAAAAACCTGTAATTCTTGCTTCTTATATTAGTCACTGAATAATTTGTGCAAATATATATATATATATATATATATATATATATATATATATATATATATATATATATATATATATATACTGATTCCAATGTTACAATAAACACTAAGTTAATCTAAAATTAGAACTAACAAAGATTAAGTTCATCAATGCTATACAACAGCGCGAGAGCCCATTAGAACTAACATAGATTAAGTTCATCAATGGAGGTCGCACGTTGGAACATGGGTCATTGGAGTAACGACCCATCATCCTTTCTTCCAGCCTCTTCTCCATTTCTTCCATTTGGGCTCGAACTTGGGCTTGAACTCGGGCTTCCATGTTGACTTCCATTTGTTCCCGAAGAGCCTGGACCCTGGATTCCATCTGATCTTGCATCTGAGAAACAAAGGAGGGCGTGTACTTCATGGAAGAGGTGGAAAGTCGGCGACCCATTTGGCTGCCATAGTAAAGGTCAGCACTTTCGCCTAGTCCCTTCACACGTCCTTTTTTGTTCCGACCACCCACTGTCTCCCAATACAGCTCATTCGGACTCTTCTGAATCCTTTGAGTTCTAGCCGCCTCAACCCTCTTTTGGTAGGCCTCCTAGAAGATAAACATACAAAAGGGAACAAACGAGGTAGTAAGTTATACAAATAAGCTAAACCAAATTGAGCGAACTATGGCCTATATGACCTATTCTTTGCCCATTTTCTATGTTTTTGACCAAATGAACTATTTCTTTCTCTAAACATGCATATTTTAGGTATGGTAAGGGGTTCATGACTTGAAATCACAAAAAACTACAAGTCCCTACGTTTTGGGATGCATTTGGAGCCAAATTGAACCAAGTATGGCCTATATGACCTATTCTTTGCCCATTTTATTCATTTTCGACCAAATAAACTATTTCTTTCTCTAAACATGCATATTTTAAGTATTGTAAGGGGTACAGGCCTTGAAATCACAAAAAACTACAATTCCCTAAGGTTTGAGACGTATTTTGGAGCGAAAATGAGCCAACTATTGCCTATATGACCTATTCTTTGCCCATTTTCTATGTTTTTGACCAAATGAACTATTTGTTTCTCTAAACATGCATATTTTAGGTATTGTAAGGGGTTCATGACTTGAAATCACAAAAAACTACAAGTCCCTATGTTTTGGGACGCATTTGGAGCCAAATTGAACCAAGTATGGCCTATATGACCTATTCTTTATCCATTTTCTATGTTTTTTACCAAATGAACTATTTTTTTTTCTCTAAAAATCTCTATTACAGGTAGTCTAAGGGGTTCATGCCTTGAAATGCCAAAAAAATACAACTTCCTAAGGTTTGGGACGCATTTTGAGCATTAATAGACCAACTATGGCATGTATGACCTTATCTACACCTATTCATGAATAATGAACCAAGGAACAAAGTTTAGGGAATTTGTTATCGCAATTTCCTAAGCTGTGGGGTTTACTGAAATTGTGCCTTTCCTAGGCAGCTCCTTGAAGTGTGTCTTCAGAAACAGCTTAGGAGCTGTTGGTAGCTAGCCCTTGTTCTTCGCCGCCTTTGATACAAAAAAATAGGAATAATCGTTAACCATGTCAAACCCTTGTTACATTGAAATACACAAATATGTCTTGTAATATAAGATATTTTAAAATAAACTTACCATCCTTTTTGCATGTTGGGTAGCTGCCAACGAACCCTGAAAGTGGGTCCCTCGGACGGGATTTTCCATAGAACCGCCCATTCTGTTCTTCTGGTTCTGCACCGACCTCTCCTTGTAAGTTGGATCGTTAGCAACAATGTCCATCATCTCCTTGTGGAGCTCCGCACTCAACCAACTTGGCCTGGCGCCTTTCATCTTGTGCGTGATGGTGTGGAACATGTCACGCAGGCGTGTGGCTACCCTCCTCCGAAATGTGATCTTCACTAGCTCGTCCATCTGAGGTGCCCATCTGAATTGTGCCTACAAATGATAAAATACAAAAGTTATACACAAAACTAAATCAATACAATAACTAAAACATGTATTAACCAAGACCCAAAAATATCATACGCTGAACAAGTTCCACCAGTGTTCCTTCGTAGTTGGAGGAATTCGGAGAAGTTCCTCCAAGGGGCTCGGTAGTATAGGATCATCAAACCTATAACAAACGGGAAACAACAATGTTAAACAAGTTTGAGAATAGTAATATAAGCCTTGTATCTCATCATCCATATCATGATATGTACTTACCACAGCTTAGTAGGGTCTAAACACGGGAGTTGTTACTCATCCTGTGGCTCATCCTCTGACTCATCCCGTGGCCCATCTTCTGCAGGAGTGGATGGACCCGTTTGATCCTCACCCAAATCGGTGGCCTCCGCTTCGATCATCTCCTCATCCTGGTCGTCGGTGAACAGGGCACGGGCGGTCATTGTCTCTTTCCCCTTTACTTTCTTTGACGATTGCCTACTTTTTCCACCCGCCATGACTACCTGAATCAGATGTTAGTAAAATGACAAGATATTATAAATAAGGAGTGCAGTGCAACGTAATATGGCTTTTATACAAACACTAAAAAGTTTTACATAAGCCTCATTAATATTTTGATTTTACAATAAGAAACATACTTTTAAAGGAGATTAACATATTCTCCTATTCGGTACTCTCATCACTACTTTCACTACTAGAGTCATCACTACTATCATCTAATACTACATCAATGGCATCATCATCGTCACTATCACTAGAGCCGATACTAGATTCATCGTCTTCATCGCTTGAGATCACAAAGCCATCGTCTTCATCATCATCATCCATGGCGTAGTCTGGAATGTCACTCGGCGGGCAAAGCGTTGCATGTAATGTTGTGGATGGTGATTGCAGAAACACTAAGTCCACCGGAACATCAACCACTGACCTTGCATGTGTTTTAAACACAGACCACCATTGAACTCGGTCTCGTTTCAGGCTAGGGTATGATGCGTAGTACACTTGAGCCACTTGGTAAGATAAAACAAATGGATCATATTTGGGGTATTTCTTAGTATGATTTACTTCGATTAGCTTGTATTGTTCGTGTATGTTCATTCCCCTACCACAATCCATCCAATTGCACTTAAACAAAATTGTCTTATACTATCTTTTGGGTCCCGTGTAGACAAGTTTAATTATGTCGTCTAAGATGCCGAAGTACTCTCCGCCATCCTCACTTGATAAACACACACCATAATTCATGGTGGATTTGTGCTTGCCATGGGCATGTGTATGGAAACTAAATCCACCTACAAAAATCTGGGCCCAAGTACGAACTCACCTAAAGGGACGCATGCACAACGCTCGCAGGACATCCGAATTTGGCTTCTCTTCGACCACCTATAAAGTGGTTGAATATCAACATCAAGGTTCCTGAATTCAATGAATTGAAATGTAACATGTAAAATTCATTATTATTTCACGGTTACACCGCGTATATCACCTTGTGATGAAACCAATAAGAGAATTCAGTTTCGAAATTCTCCATGACATCTTCTCTATGCAGGAAAGGTCGAGTACTAAGAATGTAGTTCTCAAACTTCCTACGAGGCCAAACACACATTGTAAATCTACAAAGTCATCATTGTAAATGATCGTAAATACGAATACACTGAATACCTGGGCCTAATATACCTTTCGTATTCGCCAAGAATGCCAGTGTTTCTTAATACGAACAAATGTGCACACTCGAGTTCTTTGTCATCTAAGAACCGAGTTCTACCCTCATTTGACACACGACCACTGTCCTCTTTGAACAACTTTGGTATTTCAGCATCGTCCGATGTGGACTCAACGTCGGCATTCACATTTCGACCAAGATCTCGAGTTTTAGTGTCAACTGTCGACTGAAAGTAATTGGAGCAGAAGTTTGCTATCTCTTCAGTGAGATAAGCATTGCATATGGACCCTTCAACTCGAGCCTTGTTCCCGATTTTCCGTTTCAAATGATTGAGGAACCTGAAATTACAGTTGTTATGTAACTGTATGAACAATTTATTAGTATGTAAAATAAAGGATGTGAAATAAGGGTATTTGATTTACCTTTCGAAGGGATACATCCACCTGTATTGTATAGGACCACATAACTTCCCCTCGTACAGCAAATGTGTAGGCAAATGCTGCATGGAGTTAAAGAATGCAGGAGGGAAGATCTTCTCAAGCTTGCAGAGGATCTCAGGTATGTTTTTCTCCAATCGCTCCATGTCACTAACTGATGTTGTATAGCAACACAAGTCGCGGAAGAATTGGCTGATCTCTGTAATTGCATTACAAATATGGCCAGGGAGCAATTCCCTCAAAGCGGTGGGCAACATCCTCTCCATGAACACGTGACAGTCATGGCTTTTCATTCCATAGAGCTTACACGCTTGCAAATCTACGCATCTGCTCAAATTGGAGGCGTAACCATCAAGGAACCGCAGCTGTTTAACCCACTCACACAAAACTTTTCTCTGAGCCTTGTCAAGAGCAAATGGAGCCTTTGGCATTACCTCTTTTCCTCTATCATCCTCTTGAAGATGAAGCTGGGGACGTTTACAATATTTAGCAATGTCATTCCGAGCTGAAGGCGTGTCACACGTAAGCTTTTTCACATCCATTACAGTGTGAATTAACTGATCAAACAAGTTCTTCTCAATGTGCATGACATCTAAGTTGTGACGAATGAGGAGATGCTTCCAATATGGGAGCTCCCACAAGGTGCTTTGCTTGAACCACCCTTTCTTTTCATTTTTCAGCCTTTTAATTGAATCGGGTCCATCTGTAGCCTTTGGAAGGTCCTTAACACATTCCCACAGCTCCTCTCCTGACATGATGTGTGAAGGGGCTCCTTTCTCTACTTTGTTTTTACAGAATGTTGTTTTACTGTTCCGAAAAGGGTGATCTGTCGGGAGGAATTGCCGGTGGCAATCAAACCAAGAAACTTTACCACCATGTTCAAGCCAAAATGCTTTGGTCTTCTCCATGCAATGTGGACAAGCTTTCTTACCAGCCGTGGCCCAACCAGACAACATGCCATAAGCCGGGAAGTCACTAACGGTCCATAGGATGGCTGCTCGAAGATTGAAATTATGTTTCTTCGAAATATCATAAGTAGCCGCGCCAACTTCCCACAACAGTTTCAACTCCTCTATCAACAGTTGCATGTAAACATCCAAGTTTCCCTTAGGGTTTTTAGGACCAGGAACGAGCAACGAAAGGAACATGAATTATCTTTTCAAGCACATTGAGGGAGGCAAGTTATAAGGGGTCAAAATGACAGGCCAACAAGAATATTGACCCCCAAACTTACCATGAGGAGAAAAACCATTTGTACACAAGCCAAGTCTCACATTACGAGGCTCAGAAGCAAACTTTGGAAACCGACAATCGAGGTGCTTCCAAGTTGCGCTGTCACTAGGGTGTGCCATTGTGCCTTGAACTCTGGGATTTTTTGAATGCCATGTCATTTCCTCCGAAATGTTCTTCGTTGCAAACAGTCTTTGCAACCTGTGTGTGATCGGGAAATAAAATAAAACATTCGAAGGCACTAGGCTACCTTTGGAAGTCTGCTTGTATCGGTTGCTGCCACACACCCTACATTCAGACAACTGAGCATCATCCTTCCAAAACAACATACACCTTTCGGGCACGCATGAATCTTTTGATGGGACAGTTCCAACCCCTTCACAATCTTCTTCACTTCGTAGAAAGTGTCGGCCATATGATTGTTGTTCGGAATCGCCTCACTTAGCAAAGAAGCAAACCCATCAACACATCTGTGAGGTAAATTATACTCACATTTGAGACTAGTAATTCTAGCGGCCATCTCTAACACAGACAAAGAACTCCCTTCGTATAATGGCCTTTCAGAAGCCTTCAACAAATCCAGAAAATGCTTAGCAGTTGCATTAGGCTCCTCCTCTGATGAAACACTAGCCTCCTCGGAATGCCCCTGATCTTGACTATGACCAAAAGCATCCAAAACCATGTCATGATATTCATTGGACCGTCGTTCTCGAACTCCCGGATACCCCTCCCCTTGACACATCCACACATAGTAGTTAGGTACCAAACCCTTGTCATACAGATGAATTTTAACCGTATCCGCATTCCAAAGGCGTTTGTTCTTACATTTAACACATGGACACCTAACATCATCCGGATTACTACTCTCGAGATTATCTCTGACGTACTGAATAAATTCATCAACTCCTTTCACGAAATCTGGATTAATACTTTGCCCAATCGTCCTTTTATACATCCAGCTACGTTCTCTTCGTTTCATGATTACAACTTCTACACAGCTCACGCATATGTACAATCACATTAGTCATGAACGGTATTTCGCAGTCATTATCCACCACAGCGTTATGGAAATGCAAATGAGATTTGAAATGCTTCCAAAGGGTCCTTATCACTCCAACCTAACCCATCCTTGTACGTTTATTCTCACTAGTGAATGTAACCTAGGTTTTCAATTCTATGGAAAATCCGCCAGCATTTCCCTACAGTTCTCCAAGTACACAATGTAGGCGATTATACACACCTACATATGTACCCAGAGAACACGGTAGAGAAGTGCATGAAAAGGCAGGATTTTCCCTGGAATCAAAAACAAGACTTACATTCACCACCTAAGTGAGAATAAGCGTACAAGGATAGTCCCAACCGGGGACTATTCAAGACATACTCCTAATGTGTATGCCGTGAACGGGTATCTAGGCATATGATTATGCAAATGATTCATTTATTATAATATATATATATATATATATATATATATATATATATATATATATATATATATATATATATATATATATATATATATATATAAACTAACTTGCATTACATTAAACTAACAAATATCATAATTTATCTAAAGAAAACTAACATATCATAATATTCAAATAAACCAATCAAACAAAACCAAACTACACTAAATTATCATTATATTAAACCAAAATAAGATAAATTATATAAATTAAACTAAACTAAGCTACAATATATTAAACTAAAGTAATGTAACATACATCATATTAAACTAAACCAAACCAACCTACATTATAATAAATTAAACAAAACTAAACAACATTATATTATGATAAAGTAAGCTAACATACATTATATTAATCTAAACTAAACTAAACCAACATACATTATTATATTAAACTAAACCAAACTAAACTAACCTATTATAATACAACTAAACTAAACTAACACATTACCCTAAACTATACCAAACTAAAGTAACGTGTTATAATAAAGTAATTAAAAACTATACTTATATTAACTAAACTAATCTAACATATTATAACACAAACACATTCATTTCAAATATTTCAACAAATTGAAATATAAATATAACAAATTGTAAATACAATAACTAAAAACAATAATAAACTACCATATATCTACACACCATTAGGATTTAACATGCCAAGTATGTACTAAATTTATAAATTTAGCTTTAAATAATGTCTAACCTGTAGATCTGAGTTTGTAATTAAATAAACAATGCAATACACAAAACCTACAAATATTCAAATTTAACACAAAAAATTAACACCAAACAAAAGCATAAAATACATTTATGATTTAAGCTTGAATACTTAACTAAAAAAAAAAAAAAAAAAAAAAAAAAAAACAGAAAAGCAAACAAACTACCTGCTGGTGGCGGTGGCGGTGGCTGGTCGTGGTTGTTGCAGACTCGCCGGCGACTTAAGCCCTAGGTGAAAACTCCCGTACACCCTAGGTGAAAGGTGGTGGTTAGGGTTTGAAGGAAAAAAAAATTAAAAAAAATTACCAAAACCCTTACCGGCGGCAGGGCGGCAGCAGAGGGGGTCGTTGTGGCTGCGGCGGCGGCGTGCCTTTCTCTCTCTTCCTCTTTCTCCTTCTCCCTTTCTCTTGCTCCTCCCTTTCTCTTTCTTCTGCTTTCTCCCTCTTCCTCTTTCTCCCTCCTCCTCTTTCTCTCTCTTCTTCTTCCTCTTCCTGGTTCGCCTTCTCCTTCTCTCTCTTCCTTTGGTTTTTTTTTTTTTATTTTTTTTATTTTTTTTTTTTTATTTTTTTTTTTTTTCTGTTTTCGCTTCTATACAGAAGTCAGAATGGTTGCGTTTTTTTTTTATTTCTCGCAGCTTTCCGTCGGAACTTGTGATTTCCGAGGGAATTAATTCCGTCGGAAGACACTCCGAGGGAATATTCTGTCGAAACTTAAATATTCTGAAGGAAATATATTCCGTCGGAAAGATTCCGATGGAATATTCCGTTGGTAGGGTACCTTTCCAACGAATTTTTCCTACAAAGTCAATTTCCCTCGTAAATTTTGAATTTTCCGAGGGAATTAAATTCCGTCGGAAGATATCCCTCTGAAATAAGCCTATTTCTAGTAGTGGTTTTCCAAGAGGTTTTGTCGGATACGGTTCTTGGAGGTAGTGCGAAGGCTAGTCGCGTTGCCATTGCTCTACAGGCGGAGTTACAAGCTTGTTTATGGGCTCTTCGAGCTGCCGTTCGTCAGGATTATCTTCGTCTTCTCATCTATACGGATTGCGCTGCTCAAGTCTCCATGTTTCAGCATTCTAGCTCTACTGATATTTCTTGTTTGTGGTTGTTTCAGGAGGTTCGGAAGATTATCCCCCGCTTTTCCGCCTGTTGGCTTTGTAAGGTGCCTCGGAGTTGGGTTGCTCCTGCGCATTGGTTGGTTATTCGCGCTTGCGACCGCTATTTCCTTTGCTGGTCTTTTTAGATAGTGTTTGTGGTTTTGTTCGTTTTATTGTTAGTAATCTTCGTATAAAATAAATAAATAAATAAATAAATAAAGTATGAGTTTTTTTATGATAAATGAAAATGAGGTATCATTCTTTCATCACAATAGTTAAAAATAAAAGTTACATACCACATAATCTTTTATATATATATATATATATATATATATATATATATATATATATATATATATATATATATATATATATATATATATATATATATATATATATATATATATTATGTACGTTTATATTATTATCTATGAATTAGTGTTCTTTGGTGCATAATGAGCATTGTGTATATATTATATTCACAGTCGAGTTGCATTGTTTTGGGAGATGAGTATTAATTGATGAGCTAGGTTATTGTTGTGCGGTACTAGGTAGTGAGATGCGCTGTAAGATTATAAGAATGGAGCTGATCAATGCAATACTTCGTATTATTTTACTACGTACCACATTGTTATGGAGAAGAGGGGAATAAGGATTTGTTGTAGATTAGAAGCTGTAATTAAGGTTTGTTAAATTTTGAGGAATAGTTTGTAAATTTTATATAGGGGGAAAACACTATAAAGTAAAAATTGAAGGGTAACATATTCCTTTAACTTCAACCAATGATGAGTTAAACTTAGGATCCCCAAAGCATACAATTATACAATGCACCATTTTGCCTTTGGCTTATCTTTGATGTGAACATAAACCATATTTGGTAATTAGCTAGTAGCTAGCTGTTAAATATGATTGTATTAATTGGTTTGACTAACTACTGGTTGTATTGGTTACTCTGACTATTTGCAAATTTTTCAAACAACTCTTACCAAAAGCTTGGTTGAGTAGCCATTTTGAATTAGATTATTAAACTCCAATAAGCTTAATCTTTAATTCAAATACCAAAAATAACTAATTGCTTTCAAAAAGCTAAAATTTCATCAATCATCTATTTACCAAATAAGGTCATAACCTATAATTTTTATATGTTTCGCAAAATTACATTTTTTTTTTATCTGAAGCATATATGATTAATAATATGTTATCAAAGTTAATATATTAATCGTATAAAAAATGTCAAAATAACACTAATAAAATATTACATAAGAAACTAACCAATTTTGGAAGTTGGAACACAATTCAATTTTAACTAATGGCTAAAGTCCTATAATTGATTTTACCTACATAGATTAACCAAAAGCTTAGACTTAGCTCAACCACATGGTTTGAGTATTGGTTTTGTAATCTTTCACGTACAAATGGGTTTAAAATGTGATAGTCCTTTTTTTTTTCTTTTCTTTTTTTTTTTTTTGAGGAAATGAGATAGTCCTTTTTATTGGATAGAAAATGAGATAGTGCTCTAGGGGATAAGCCTTTAAAATGAGCCAATTAGACAATTACCTTAGTCACTTTGCCCCGGTTTTGAATCTATTCATTAAAGGTTCCACCGACGAATACAATTCAAGTTTTGCATATTTTTATCTCCTTTGATTACGGATTTTGATTTGTGTTAGCAAGTCCTAATCACATTGATTTAAAATCGATTAGTACTCAAAACGTTCTTAATAATGAGTAGGTGATGTCAAATTAAGACTATATTTAATAGCTCCTTTCATTTTGCTAAGTTCTACTCAATTACCGTAGTATGCAGCTACACAAACTAAGGAAAAGTGGAAATGAGTACTTTAAAGAGGAGAGAGATAGAGAGTGGAAGATTTATTCAATAAACTGAGCTCGTAAAATGAGGTTGTGGAAGATAAAAAATGAAAGAGTTGTCACAAATGAAAAAAATCAAAAGTGGGTAAACTTAAAAAGCAGATGAAAACGAAAATGAGTACAAAAAGGGAAAGAGTATTTAAGTAATTTTTAGAAATATAATTTAATTGATCCATTTTGTCATTTTGATAAGAAAAGTGTTACATCAAAAGTTTTTTTTTTTTTTGAAAAAAAATTTTAATAGAAAATTTGTGAGCTTTGCATTTTAATTGAAATAACCTTGGAGAAAGAATGGACTAAAGAAACCATGGCTTAGCCTACTCTGACTTAAATTTCATTGCTTGAGTTAGTTGAGTAGGCCCAATTTAGTTCTAGGGCTCAATAAAAATCCCATTGTTTCTTAAGCCCAAAAATTAAATTGGAAAAATTATAACGTGACTAATAAAAAAGAGACCCTCTTAATTTTAACTAAAAAATAAATAAATTAGTAAAACTTAATTTTAATTGAGAAAAATCAATTTTTTTTTAGCAAAAATTAGTAGTCCTACAAAATTAGTTAGATTGGTAACATGTGAGTAAAAGAAATAATAAATTAGCAGAGATTGATTTCGACTACTTTGAATTAGTTCAGTACTTTCTCTATTTTTATTTGCATAATAGCCTTTGCCCTTTGATACTTCTTTTAGAAGAAGAAATTCAAGAATATGAATGTACACATAAATATATACTATCTCTGCTTCGCATTACTCGCAACAAAAGGGTATTATTTGTGAGACATAAAATATTCGTTTGTTGCGAGTAATGCGAAACGGAGGTAGTATGAAGTATTAAAGCCGAATTTATCACCAGTTCACCCTCTTACTGTTGTATAAGTTATTTTGATCAAATTGAATACTCCGTATTTATACAACATTCTCTATACCCTTCGTCAATTCCCTCAACGGGTTGTGTTAGCAAGTATTTTAAAATAACATATGTTATAATATTCTGTAGTTAAATAACAAAGGCCAAATAAACATGATCAAAGGAAATAATCAGGATCAAGGAGTGATTTCTAATTAGAGGGCCATAATAGCTAGTTAGAAAGACTTATAGTTGAGAGAGTTGAGAGATCAAGGTGATGGAGTATAAAACATATTCTTAGGCCTCAACCATAACTTTAAACTTTTAGTTGAGTTGGTCCTCTAACATGGAATCAGAGTCAACGTGATACAAAAGTCACGAGTTCAAATCTCATCCACCCCTCATTTCAAATTGCAATATATATTTCGCGGAGGGCCCATGCAGTATCCACATTTTAAGTCTAAATGGCTCTCATGTGAGGTGGCGTGATAGAGTATAAAACATATTCTTGGGCCTCAACTATAAGTTTAAGATTTTGGTTGAGTTGGTCTTCTTAAACAAGGTTTAGCATGCATAGAAAAAGAGAATGAGACTTGCGAGTAGAAGTGATCAACATCGGCTCGACCCACTAGCTCGGCCCGAAAATAGGACGGGTTTGGGTAAGCCTAAAAACACATTTTTAGTTAAAAGTCCGAACTCCGCCTGAAAAGTCCGCTTTGGCCCGACAAGCTCGCTACTTTTTTACGGGTTTGGGCACGAGGTATCATGTTAAGGTCCGACCCTGCCCGATTTTTTGATCACCTCTACTTGTGAGTTGTGAGGAATAATGAGTGATGATGACTAAAAATGGCTTTGAAGAAGTGAAGGTCATAGTAAATTAGGGCTTATATATGCCTTATTTAGATCTATGAATGATATAAACTAAATTTATATATGATATATTCTTACATGTAAGTAAATTGTACATGATTGATAGAGTATAAAATATATTCGTGGACCCCAACCATCAGTTTAAGCTTTTTGGTTGAGTTTGTCCTTTAACATGGTATCAGAGCCAAACGTGACACAAAGGTCACGGGTTCGAATCTCATCCACCCCTCTTTTCAAAGTGGAATATTAAGCGCATGGTATGAGGAGAGCCCATGTTGTATCCACATTTCAAGCCCAACGGGCTCTCGTGTGAGGGGGCTTGATAGAGCATAAAAAATATTCGTGGGCCTCAACCACCAGCTTAAGTTTTTGGTTGAGTTGGTTCTTCAGCATGGTATCGGAACCAACGTGACAAAAAGGTCACGGGTTCGAATCTCATCCACCCTCCATTTTCAAGGGTAATATTAAGCGTTGTGTATAAGAAGGGCCCATGTTACATCCTTTTTTTTTAAGCCAAATAGGCTCTCGTGTGAGGGGGCGTGATAAAGTATAAAACATATTCGTGAGCCTCAACCATAAGGTTAACCTTTTGGTTGAGATGGTCCTTTAACAATGATGACATTGCAACAAAGGGTTTTTAAAAATGTATTATGACTAGAAAAACTTTAATACTTACGGAGTAATTCCTTATCTCTAAATAGTACTTACTCTGTATATTTGTCAATGTACAACTTTAATGATTAATAATATATTAAATTATATAAAGTAGGTATGATAATATTGCAAAAATCCAACTATTGCAATGTCGTATAATCATATTTATATTAGTATTACTCTTATGAGATAAGTAATAATGATAAATTTGCTAGAGAATAAGAATACCTATTCCAAGCATAACTTGGTGATGATCGAAAAACCTCTTTACAATAATTATATCCATGGCTAATGTTAAATACGGGCCTGGGCCACACCCATCACCAAGAGAGAGAGTCTACTTCACAAGACCTGAGGTTCTGTCTTAGACCTGATCAATGGGCGGGTCAGGCCGAGGCTTAAACAATTTGCCCATTTCTCGAGTCGGGCCGGGCCGGGCCCAGCTTCCGGAAATTTCATGCCCAAACCCGCCTAAAATGGCTAGGCCGTGCGTGCTTTTCGGGCCATTTTCGAGCCGTGCCAAAAAATATGAACCAAAATAGCATAAAAATGAATTTCCAAGGCTGTTCAAAACAATAAAAAAAAAACGGGCCGAGCCTGACCCGATTTCGGGCAAAAGCTGCCTAGATTCGGGCCGGGTCGTGTAAGCTTTGATCAGCTCTATTCCATCCCAAAACCTTATGGCAATTAGAAGAGTATCCCCTTAGCCTTATAAAGTGTTTAATTCTCTCTTCTTGAGAAGTTTATACTTCAACACTCCCCCTCACATATATAGTTTGAGAAGAGTATCCCCTTAACCATATGTAGTTTGAGAAGTTTATACTTCAACACTCCCCCTCTCGTGTAAGGTCTCTTAAATTTCGTCTTATGTGATGTTTCATGAGGCTAGAGCACTTTTTTTTTTTCTCCCCCTCATATGGACCTTCTCAATTTGGCCCAATGCACTCATTACTCAAGCCATTAAAGGTCCCAAACCATGGGCCTGATTCTAATACCATGTTAAAGTTCACTGAAATTATGAACTTCATTGAAGAAAAACTAAGAACAATGACAAAAATAGAGAGAAAACTTTTCCTGATTTCAATTAATGAAACAAATATCTTTCTCTTTATTTTTCTTTGTCATTATTCTTAGTTTTTCTTATGAAGTTCATAATTCTGTGAACTATAATAGCTAGCAAGCATGCAATTAAGCATTTTAATATATCATATACTATTACATTCGTTCGTGGTCACAAAAATAACCATACATACCTTTCTCCGTTTACATATAATTATAAGCAAAATAGTGCTAAATTGGGGTGAATGCCATGCTCTAGTCTATCATTATACTATTGTTCGAGCAGCAGTTAAGATTACATTCTTTATGGCTTTACATCATGGACAATCGTATGAAAATTGCCCTCGATGACCCGATCATGATAAGTAAACATAGAGTCATACCTTAGTCTAATTAAGCTATAGAAACAATCCAAAATTTACCTTGAAAATATACATATAATCTCTCAAGTACATACGCACGTAACTTGCAATTATCGCGTGCGTGCTTAATTTTCTCAAAGCATCCATCCATGGTGACCATGGACATTATATCCATTGACATGTTGCTGGCTTGGTGTTGCAACACTCATTTCAGTCGATTCCAAATGATTGTAGCTGTTAATTACACATCAAAAATATATTAAGTGCAACAAATAATAACAAAAACCTTGTAATATATACAATAATTGATTTGATCAAAAGTACGGGTTTAGAAATTGAAACTGTACCCGATTTGCTGGGGAGGATTGCGATAAAGTGGTTGAAAGAAGCCCTCGGATGGATGAGGAATGCGGCTGAAAGGTATATGTTGTTGATCTTGAGTGTTATCACCTTCCCATGCAAGTCTTTGAGGGATTTGGGGGCTACAATCTTCTAACTGAATTGAAAATGCAACATTAATGCAAATTAAAGGAAGCTGAGTAATTAGAAATGGAAAAAGACTATAATTAATGTCAACAATACAAATACAAAGGATGCAAAACCTACAAAGCAAGTAGTATTAATAATCACTTGTAGTAAGATGGATCGAGAAACTTGTAATCGATCACCTCAGTTTCTATAAAAAAAATATTACAAGTCTAGCTGCCTCATATAAGATTTTGCAATAAACTCTAACCTTAATTTGATGAGGTGTTCTTGCCATACATTTATTTCTAATTTAGCTGGCCATTTAAAAGTATATATGTGTTGCATATTATATGCAACTATTGCACTTGCATCTAATAATACATGCATTTGGCCTAATGATAATATGTTAAAGTAGGGCAAATATATTTACATAGAACGGAATGTATACCTTCTTCATCAAGTTCCTGTTGTTTTCAATTAAAGCTTGTTCCTGGACAAATGGAGAAATAAATTCTTAACCAGTACGTATAAGCTAAAATATTATTGCAACCAAAATCACTCAATTCGATTATCGAAAGATAAAAACACATACCCTTCTTCGCAGTTCCGCCATTTGATCCATCATTTGTTGAGTCTGAAAATATCACACAACATTATATATCAAGCTTGTTATAATTAAGACCAAAATGTTGTGTAAAAATTGACTCTAATCTAAAACTAGCTAGGTCTTACATGGGACCGTCTCACCTAGAAGAGAATAGTAGGTTTGTGTTGAATGTTAATCTAAGGGCATGCTATGTACATTTGGTGCATTAGTCATACAACTCGAATTAAAAATACTCACAAGGAAAAATCAATATTTCTAAACAGATCGAGTTAATGTCTGATCAACATTGGCAAATTGATCTTCCTATTATATGAACTCACGTAACTAAACAACAAGCGAGCGATATGATAATAGTGAAAATGTAAAAACGACCTTGGTTGATCTTATTTGCTTCAGTGATAACTCAAGCTGGTGCTCCAGCTGTTCTAGCTCCTTTATAGCCAATGGTGCCAAGTCTTCTCCAAGCAAGTTCCTACAATATTGTCACTTTCTTTAGAAAATCAACATCATATACTTTCCCGTAACTTTTCTTAGATATATACAGAGTATAATACAAGCACTTGCCTCTTTTTAAAAATTAGTTCACCTCACTGGCTAGTTTAAATTACATCATCAATATGACAAATTGATAACTAATTCTACATACATGAATGGAGCGTGAGTTCGTGTCGATCTTACAGCTAAACTAATTAATAAATACTCCTACGTATAGTACTTAACTGATTATATACATGGCATTGGAAATTACCTCTGAGATTGCTGCAGGAACTCCACCCTGGACTTAAGCTTCAAATATTCCTGGTAGGTTGCCTGATTTTAACCAATAAAAAATGAGCTTAGGACGTCAGCACATTTTATATTTACGTGTATAATAGTCCTATATTTGCATAGGGTTTTGCATACAATAAGTCAATGACGTTATATAATCATCAAAGAATACATTTATTATACAAATTTATGTCAACAATTATAATACTTCGTTACATATCCTAGCTTGCCAATATGCATGGAAGCTATGTATAGCGATCTAAATCAATAAATTAATTACATGCATGCATGCTCAAACTATGAATGTATATTCTATACTTCTCGTTACAAATTACTCCGTAGATAATTAGAATTCCATCAATATATCTAGGATTACTTATGACATAATTTTACTGTAAAATCTTTTATAATATGAAGTAGCTCAGGTGTTTTTTTTTTTTTTTTTTTCAAACTTTTTTTAATTAGTTGCTAACTTTGTTTTAATAATTTGAGTATTGACTATATATGCACTTGTTTCGAACATAATACAGTAGTGTATGTCAAAGTTTGACTATTGTTTGAAGTGGTACATTACCAAAAGTATAAAATAATATATATGCATATGTTGCAATGTACTCAAGACATTATGTTTAGAAGCTAAGTTATACTCCCTTGGTCTTTGAATAAACTTCTAATTTATCAAAAAAAAAAAAAAAAAAAATGCTTGTATCTAAAATTTTCTCATTTCTTTTGTATGGTTCCACATAATAAGATATATGTATGTTGTCACTGAACCTAGATAGAAATATTAATGTGAGTTGAGGGAGTATATACGTGGCAATAATCTAGATTAGTAGAAAAACCATAAACACACACGAACACCTAAATAGAAAGCTAATAATTAACATTGTAAATTTAGGATATTGATCATAATAACGCAAGAAATTCAAGACTACCTCAGAATCATTGAGAAGCCCATTTTCTTCAAGAGCGCCATAGCTGCATCTTTGGTACTTTTCAATTGTTTTCAGCATACTATTACCACGCAAAGTCCACATTCAACCAGGTTAGAAAACCAACTAATTGCCAAAAATAAAACGTAAAGCATGAGGGATTGAGTATAAATTATTATTATTAAGGTGATTAAAATTACTATATTAAGTAACTATTTCATTGTTAATTTGCATACATTATATTAATTAATTAGCCATTAGCAATTTATTCCAAAAAAAAATAGCCATTATATTAGCAATCATAGATGCATCACCATAAACCGATGTGTGGTGCTATTATAGTGTTTCCCCCTTTAAATTCTCTTGCTTATTTTTTCCTTTTTTTTATTCCAAACTTTCTTTTTACTTTTTTCAACGATTATAAGAGAATAACATCCTAAAAAGCAGCATTGATGGAGGAGAAAACTCAAAACAATAGCGAGGAAATTATATAATTGTATACATTTATCATTACAAACCAAATCAACAAAATCATCCTAAACTATCAAAGGGAAGAACGTAACAACTGAAAGCATAAAACTCCGTATATTATTGGAATTAAATCTGTGACGAATGATTGATCTACTATATCTTATTGGAACTTCATGCATATATCACTAAAAAGTAAATGTTTCGACATAGTAACATGAATTAGAGAGGAAGTTAAGAACATCCAAACAATTATAAACATAATTATTCAACATTGCCACACCTATCCAAAATACCAATACAATTAGATTACCTCATATCGAGTTTTTCTTGCAAATCTTCCCAAGGATTTTCCAGAAATTTTTCAAGAATTTTTATAATGTTTCATAATTTTCATATTCCCTTACATATCGATAATAATTTCCCCACATCTAAATCAAGGGAATTAACTTCGTTCCAATTCCACACCAATCAACAAACAAAGAATGATAATAAATGATAAGTTAAGTTGAGCCTATGGTTTAATTCATCTTATCAAACGGATTAAGTAATTAAATATGGTCACAATGACGCCGATATTTAATTTATTTGAAATCACATAAAATTAACTCAATTTAAATTTTGGCAGTGTCTTTCAATTAGATCTAGTTTAACTGTATTTCCTCAAAGGGTAATACCCAAAAATTAGTTATATAAGAGTGCAAAACTAAAGCTGCCAAAGAGAGACAAGAAAATTAAGAAGATTGAATTGGAAAAGATGAAAAATTAATTTGCATTTGAAGATTGAAGATAAATCAGACTTTGGAACCAAACAAATTAAAGCAGCCTTTGTCTATTTCTCTCTCTTATTCACAGTTCTAAACTTCTAACAAATGAACAGCCTTCTTCTGCAAAACATCACATCTCTGCCCTCAAATCTCAACAGTAACAATAAGTAGTAGTATTATATTATTTTTATAATTAATTAATTTTCATAAACCAAAATATCAGTTGATATTTTTAAAAGAACTTTTATTCAATTGTTAAATCTCTTAAGTACTTTAATAATTTATCACATAAATATCATTAAGGAAATTGTTCATTAAGATTTTTTTTTTTTTTTTTATACCAAATTGTTCATTAAGATAACTGTTGTAGTTTATATTTTAAAAAAAAAAAAAAAATTCAAGATAAGCAAAAAAAAAGTACTATAATTAACTAACAAAGATCTTACAAAAAAGATTAACGAATTGGACTTGCATTAAACAAGGATCTAGAACCAAATTATTTATTAATCATGTAAATCTAGGAAACCTAGTTCTTTACCCATTTTATATTAATGATAAATCCATTTAGTATTTTACTAAAGTAGAAATAAATCGAATCTTCAAATACTATAGAAGAAGTTAAAGCCGATTAGTACATATTAAGTAATGTTGAAAATCATCAATTTTGTTGGTACCACTCTAATGTAGTAGTAATTAGTTACAAAAGAAAATCATTTTGCTTTCAAACCCCTTAGTAATCTAAACATAGGTAGGTCATAGATCTTAATAAAACCGATCCAAAACCCCCTAAAAAAAAGAAAATCACAAAACAAGATCGATCTAGAAACAATTTATATAAAACCATTTACATTCAAACAGAGTCGTTGTATACAAGACCTACAACATTACATTATATCGCGACTACATAAAAACCGAGCAAGAGAGTGAGGACAGAACAAACCTCGACGAGCTGCAAAACTCAAAGAGTTTACCACGATTAGAGAAGATTATAAGAGCAACTTCAGCATCACAAAGAATAGAAAGCTCATAAGCTTTCTTAAGAAGTCCATTTCTTCTCTTAGCAAATGTAACTTGCCTATTGATTTTGTTCTCTATCCTCTTGAGTTCAACTCTTCCTCTACCCATGATTATTATTATTTGTATTATAATTCTTATCTTTTCTCTCTCTTTAAAAAAAAAAAAAAAAAAAAAAAAAAAAAAAAAAAAAAAAGAACTTGGCTATATTTACTCACTGAAAATACTTTCTTTGGGAAAGAGTTAGGTCTCTATTTATGTGGTCTTATTGTCCTAGGGTACCATAATTGTAAACAACTTAACTTACAAATATATAAATAGGAAAACCCTGAAATAAATAAATAAAATAAAATAAAACCCTTTTTCATAACCTTAGGGTATTTTTGTGCTTCATGATATATACTCTCTTTGGCCTGGTTAAAAGAGTATTCCCTCTTTTTATTCCTCTTTCTTTTTATGTGGCTTGCATAAAGTAGTCTATAATAATCTTATTCAAAGAAATGTGGATTTTTTTAGTAGAAAACTATGTCCTTGTACTTGAAGGACGGTTGATATATATATATTTTTTTTAAATTATATGGACCAACTAAGTACATATGGACCATTTAGTCACCTTTCATACAATAAATCATGTTTTTTCATGATTTAATTTATTATAAGGCTTGTTTATTTGTTCTAGTAGCTTATCCTTTACATGTACAATTATGCATGGTGTTATATATGACCTAGATCAATCGTAATATTTGGTCTTTATTATTGACTTTTATGGTTCTCTATACAAAATAAATACTACAGCCTACGGGCAATACATATACTTGTATAATGATTAAATATGTATTTAATCACTATATCCTTCTTGTAGCTTATGCTTAACTTTAATTTACATGTGCAATTGTGCATGTCGTCTCATATTAGAGGACTAATTCAACTAAAAGTTTAAAATGATGGTTGAAGCTCATCATGATCGATTTATATACTCTATCATGACATCTCACATGAGAACCCTTTGGGCTTTAAAATGTGGATGCAGCATGAGCCTCCTTATACTCATCGCAAAATATTTTACTTGAGAGGAGGGGTGAATGAGATTTGAACCTATGATATTCTTGTCACATTGGCTCTTCATACCATGTTAGAGAATAATTCAACCAAAAACTTAAGCTAATGGTTAAAGCCCATAATTAGTTTATATTCTCTGTCATCTTACATAATTCGTAAATAAAGTGTGGTACACTAATATTTAAGACCTAGCTTATATTATGTTGTCTACATTTCTGACTTTTATGACTCTCAATACAAAAAGAATTAAATGCATGTAAGTATGAATTAATATATATTTGAAAAATGTACATAATCATTAACATTAGTTTTATTAATTTCACTATTATTATCCTCCACTTGTCGAGATCAAGGTTTGGGTATCAATTAAATTAAATAATCCATGTCGAGAGCGATGCATCCAAATTTTCAATATTGTTAGAGTTGTATCCATGGTGTACCTAGGTCGTGCTCCCGTGCATTTGTGATAGAAGATATTAGAAAAGATATCAATATCTTTGATCATTTTAAGCTTTCTTATGTTTCAAGAACATGTAATTCCGTGGCCCATCTTGTAGCAATATGGGAGATGGGTAGTGATTCTGAATATGTTTGTACCGTAATTTCCCTCTAACTGAAATTGATTTATTTTAAAATTAATAATATATCCGAGCTATCTTTGTTTTGAAATGAAATAAGAAAGAAAGAAAATTCCTCAATTGTCCTTAATATCACATACGTATTATATATTAGAGGATTGTAGGGATTTGTAATTAAAATATCTCATGTAGTTCATCCCAACAGTTAAGGAAATTGATTAGTACAAGTTATCTAATCATATTTCAATCAATGCACGGGCAAATATATAAGAATTATGAACCATTAATATGTTTAATCTACTTATTATTACTTTGCACAAAAATCTCCTTTAGTTATAAATTTACATAAAGCTTTACATGACTTCCTTTTCATTTCACAAGTACTTTGTTTATCAGAATGGTTGCATACTTGCAGTACATCGAATCCATACTTATAATATTGTATCTACTTTTTAATGATAATTTAATCTTACCTAAGATTCAAACTACCCTTTTCCAGATTTTTGAGAGGACGTTTTTTTTTTTTTTTCTTATTTTGGGCAGTTCTAAATTTATTTTCAATAACTACGAATGTGCTATAAATTGAAAAGTATGGAATTATAAAAAAAATTGTTCGTCTGAAAAGAAATAATGGAAAATTACATCCCTCTATTCATAACATACATACCTTCCTAATTTCTATTCAAGCTTGTTTTGTAAATTATTCCTGTTTTTGCTATGTTTTGATTTTGGCATAGACATTTTCTCTTTTATGTCTTCTCTAACACGTCACAATATTAACAAATGGTGTGATACATCCACATTAAATCTAAGTTTTGGAGCCCAATTCAACCTAGTAAATTACTACAAAAATTTGATGTGCATGCATGCTTGTATCACATAAATAGATCGAGTTGGATCACTAATTGACGTATAGACTTGAATTGTCATCAAGAATTAGGTTTTTTTTTTTCCTTTTTTTTTGGAGATATTAATGTCAAATAATCTCAAACTCCTTCGCCGAAGTGATTTCCATTGATCAATATTTATAGGATTACAATGAGAAACCTAATCATATTAGGTAACTACAAGATATGTAAAGATATCATAAAGATAGTACACCCCCGCAGGCGGAGCGGGAGAAAATCGGATGCTTGGACTTGATCTGAATCATGCATCGAACGGTAAGGATAGTATGGTAACCCATGATCAAAAGAGAAGTAGTAGACGTGTGCCGGTTGTTTCGGGGTTTTCTGATGTCCTGCGGGAGAGTTACAATTCCGAGACTGGAACCGGACGCCTGTACCTGCAAAATAACGGAGACTCCTGACAGCTCCGCCTCCAACGGTCAAGTTAGTACCTGATTAAGGAGTAATTAATACGGAAATTAAAGTAATAAGATCTCTCTAGGTGAGAGTGTTTAATGTAGGTAATCTGCTTTGTTAGCGAGATTAGCCGGTTATTAGTGTTCCGTAATGTTTCTGTTCTTCTCTGTTCTTCAGGTGAGATTAATTGCTTGATCAATTGCCTGCTCTTTAATGAGGATTAATTAAGTATTTATAGTCTTGAGAAGCGTGCCACTCTCTAGGTTTAGGGTTAACCTAGGGCTGACCGGGCCTCTAGACAGGATTGGGCCTTGTTGGCCGGTTTTCCCATTTGGCATGGGTGGACACGTGGCGTGTCTCAATTGGTCCGTAGAGGAGGTATCTGTGATTGACACGTGGCAGGCTCCTATTGGCCTACGTGAAGGACACGTGGCGGAACCTGGTTGGTCCACTTGTCCAACGGTGATTGGTGGATAAAAATCCCCTAATCATTTGCCCCTCACAGGTGGCACGTGACTGGTCACGTGTCGCCTGTGACAGGTGTCGCACGGTGACAGGCGACGGCCTGCTACAGGTGTCACCTTGCAAACGGCCGAGAGATTTTCCCGCCCAAATTTTGAATTTGGAAGCGACCCTTCGCCTTCTCACTTTGCCTATATAAGGAAGTGTTGACTTCGGTCATTTTCACATTTGAGAACTTTGCGAGAACATTCGGACCCCTGAACTTGCTCTGACATTTCGGACCTTTTCTGCCTACCGCCTGTTCTGACAAGCCGACTGCACCGGATTTCCAGAACTTCATCAACCGACACTCGTTCAGGTAACTCAGTTCTCTTACTCTTAATTTTCTTTTTGTTTTTTGAAATGGCACCACGGAAGCACACGACACGACCTAAGTTAGTGATCAGCCGGTCACCGGGGACGGCTGAATCTAGGACTAGGAGTGCCGCCTGCCCTTTTCTGGACCCATCTTTGCCCTTTATACAAAGTCCGACTGTATCTGTGTCTATGCAGAACGTGATGGCCAGAACGAAAAAGACTGCTATGATCTCAAACTCGGACGGCTCCTCCCAAAGGGTGCTCATTAGTGAAACATCTGACCAGGCGCCAAATGTAGAAGTGAAACGAGGCGGCTGCCAAGCCGACAGTTCTGAGAGAGGGGCCAAGGTGGTCCCTTCCCATCTTACCGTTGATATGTCTAATTTTCCTCCTGCTCCTTCTAAGGGAGAGGAGGCGGGCCCCTCTGGGAGAGGGGAGGAGTCGTCCTCTTCGGACTCGTCAGAGGACGAGTCCGACTCCAGCTCTTCTGGCCACACTTCTCCAGGCTCAGAAGAAAGAAACAACCGCCTACAAGAGGCGAGGCTTTCTCATGCAGTTGAGAAGGGGGACGATTGGGCGGAGCCGTCCGCCTCTTTCAGAGAGGAAAACACCCCTTACTACTGCACGGTACCCCGGGGCCGGATCGCAACCATGCAAGACAAAGTGGAGAGCTTTATAGCTAACCACAGAATGGGCCCGGAATTTTTACTGTTCGTGCCGGATCCAGAAGACACTGTCGTCTGGCCGGCTGGTACCAGTTATGATGACGGCTGCTTTGGCTGCTATGTGGCGGCCATCAAAGCTGGACTGCGCTTCCCATTACATCCGGCTGTTCAGCGGATTTTAGATGGGTATGATTTGGGGTTATGACAGTTAGCCCCCAACTCTTGGGTAAACGTACTCGGCTATGTGGCCGGGTGCGAAATGTACGGGGTGGAGCCAAGCTTTGAGGCTTTCGCCCACATGAACTATCTCAGCCGGACCCCTAAGTCGGGAGGTACCGGCTGGTATCAATTAACAAGCCATAGGGGTTACCTCATGACGAGAGGTAAGGCGAACAAATGGAAGGATTGGCGGAACACCTTCCTTATCATCGAGGGTTCAGACACGGAGCTGAACCAACGCTTTAACAAGTGGAATAGGGATCCGCCTCTTCTCGCAGGCGGCCGTAGCATGCCACCTGTTCCCCCAAAGGCTAAATAAGAGATCCTAGACAAAGGACTCTTCAAAGTAGAGACTAGGGTGAACTCTACTTCAGGGGTACGAGAGCAAGTACCCCTAAACTGCGTCCCGAGCTTCAAGTGGCTCTATGACGAGTACTTTTTGGCCGCCTGTGGCCTCAGCAGTCGGT